CTTCTTTTTGTATCCCCAGCACTTACGCCTGGCATATAACAAGTGCTTAATAAATGTTTATCAAATTGAAAAAAGAACCTCCTCTAAGATCTACATGCTGGCCGCCATGTCCTAAGTACCAGATGAATACTTCCTATTGGGCATCTATGTTGAAGCTATTCCTCCAAAGGCTACCTTATCCCAGCTTCCCATACAAACCACCACAGAGTTACACCATTGTGATGAGTGTTGGGCAGGAAAGGGAAAGGAGACCTTCTCAAATGGGGTCAAGCATCAGGTCTAGTATTGGGAAGAAAGAAGTCTGCTCTCTACTCCATGGCGCTAATACAGTCTCATAGGAGAATAAATAAATTCACTATTTTGAAGAGTAAACTCGTGTGAGGGAAAGCCTTTGGGCACAGTAGGTGAAATGATCCTGCCAGATTATTAGGGTAGGAGGCACTAGTATATTGATAATGCTGTATGTCCATGAAATACATGTTAGTGTAATTGCTATGACATCATGTAGCCTTTAGGTTTTATCTACCAGAAGAATGTATGAGGCAGCGTTAATGACTCATTATTCTTTGGGGCCGGGGTGGGGTGAGGGAGGAGAATAACTATGCCTTTAACATTGGATAAAGGTGCTGTCAGGTACATGAGGGTTAGCCAATAGTAGGAAGCCAAGGACAGCCCCATGTGGCTGCCAGGTTTAAAACTACAGAATAAGTTACATGGGTTGTTAACCCTTCTTTTTTTTTTTTTTTTTTTTTTTTGGTTATGGACTCCGATGAAGGCTGTGGACCCTTTGTCATGATAATAGGATCACAAAGGAAACTAAGTATATTGAAACATAATTATTAAATCATTTTGAAGAAGAACAAGAAAACCAAGTTTGCAGACCCCAGGTTAACAATCCCTGCCCTAGCATGAGGAACCACGAAGTAAAGGAATTCTAGGTTCTAGGCTCAGAGGGGCCTGGAATGAAGAGAGGTCACAATGGCTTATAACTGCATGGCATTGGCAGGAAATTGTTATTAACTAGATCATAATGGCAAAAAGAGTTGAAAGACCCGGCCTATAGAATCTGCTTCAGGGAAATAGTTAAACCTCAGATGAGGGGAGAGAATGAACAGCTTTTGACAGAGCAGGGGTATAGCTTTAGGAATCTGAGAAGGAAGTTTTGTTTTTTGTTTTTTCGTTTGATTTTTTTTTTTTTGTGGGGGTAGGGGGAGGAGGGAGGATAGGCTTCCTAGGACACAGCAAGTGAAAGAATAAGACAATGGATTTATTAGAGAGGGTGGGAGAAAGCTGGCACTTAGTCCTTCCCACCTCCACACCCCACCCCTATACTGAGGAATGGGGAAGCAGATTCCAGAGGCCTAGAAATAGAAGGCCTGACTAGCCAATCCCACAGTCATAGAACTAAAACTGATTTAATATTAAGGCTCAGAGCAAGGTCTTCTCAGGCAGCAGGAAGCTAAGTAGAGAAGATTAAATGTCCTGAAGCTCACGCTGGAGAACAGAACTAAGACCCTTTGGAGAATGCAAAACCATTAACTTTGTCTTATAACTGATGTCCTCCTTTCATCCAATGTTCCCCTATAGTGCTTCATAGTAAATTACTTGTAATAACCCAAGAAGTTGGCATGCTAATACCAGGGAGCCAGGGCAGAGGTGGAAGTAAAAGAGGTCCTGAAAGGAGTCCAAAGGCCCCGGTAAGCTAGATATATCGGTGGCAGCTAGAAAACTGATGAGTGAAGCAAACCCAAACCTGACTTCAAGGTAGAAAAAAAGAGCCATATACAGGGGGTGCGAAAATGGGCTTATACCCTAGGGTACTACAGATATCTGCCAGGATGCAGAAAACCCCAAGTTCATAAGACAACATAATGGAAGAGAAACATGTCCACAAAAGATCAGCCTAGTTCTGTAAGAAGAGCCAAATGAGTCTGGGCCTTCCAAATCCTGTCTGCTACCCCCAATGAAGGTGCACAGGGGTTAGGGAGCTTCCCCTGAACTCTGTTGGACATTTAAAAGCCTCCAGAACCAGACTCCAACTTTGTCTAGCTTTTTTTTTGCACACTCTATAGTCCAGTCAAACTGGAATTCTTGGACTCATGATATTTCATCTCCTGTCTCTGTTTTTTGTATAGGCTGTCCCCCAGACCTTGAATACACTCTCTTAGTCTCTGCTTCTTATAATTTCCTATAGAATTTAGAATTCCTATAGAAATCACATCCTAGAGGAGGGCTTTTCCTGGCAGCTTCCCTCTGATCTCAGGTCCCATTACCTCATCAAATGAGATGACATATATAAAGCCTATTGCAAGTCTTAAAATGCTACAAAAGTACATACTAGCTGTTACCACTATTATTATTAAGTATTCTGGATATAATTGTTGTACATGTTGCTTCCCTAATAGAATCTAGGTTCTTGGGGGCAGAGACTGATTCTTTTTGTCTCAGTAACCTCATCACCTCCCACAGTACCTGCCACACATCAATAAATGGTTGTTGATTGATTGTGCTATGCCTTATGTCAAGTATGGCCCTAACATCCCAAACCCATCCCATCCTATCCTTATTGCTCATATTAAGGGGTTTAAGTATCATCCAGCTGGGAGATTTGGTACCTAGGGCACTCAAGACAGCATCCTGTCAGAGGAGTAGAAAGGTCTAACCATATAGGTTTGGGATCTGAGGTTAGAATAGGTTTCCTGTTTAATCCCCTTCACATAACTTTCTAATGCTTTCCTGATCCTAGCTCCTACAGGTATTTCACTGCTTTCCTGGTCCCCAGCTGTCATTGATTGGCCGACAATAGGTCCCAGCCCAAGCCTCATCGTTTGGGTTCTGATGGCTTAGAACCCTGAGCCAGAAACCCTAAGTATCTTCCTCTCCCTGATAGATTTTTTTTTGACTAGGTATGACTGCCTCACTTTTACCTAGCCTCAATCACTTAATGGACATTATCTCAGTCAAACTGAGACATGGGAAAGACCTTAACTTAGAAAGGCCAAGATCTCCCACTGATGTATATCTTGCCACTGGACCCAGATGACTCTGGAGGAGACAGTGAGGCTGGTGACTCTGCACAGCCCTCCCTCACTTAAATCCAATTCACTTGCAAGTCATAGCATCTCCTTTGTGATGCTATGGTCCTCTTGGAGACTGAAGGACAAACAATAACCCCAATAGCCCCAATAGTTGTGGTCTTCTAATTACTATCTATCTGTGATTCATAGGTTGGTATTGGCCAAAAGCCTCAGCTTCCACAAGCCACTCAGGGTGAGATCCCCTCATTTTTTCATACCAAGGCTGGCAAAACATTCACAGCTCTACCATAGGCAGGTCCCGCTGACTGACCTAGGGTATTGGGAATTTTAGAAACTAGGGTAAGATTGTTGCTCAGATACCTGTCCTCTCCCCAAACCAATAACAAAAGTCTTCCCACATGTTTTATCTTCCTACTTTATGAATCATGTAACACAGCTGCCTCTATTTTTAAAAAAATTGAATAAATATGCTCTTACTGTAGATTTTGAAGCAATTGTATAACTAAAGTGTGTACAGACTTTCTTAGTTAACAAAGTCCATCAGAGCTAGTCAAGGAAAGAGTAAGTCCCAACATAGTCAATGCCTAGAAATTACATTGCAGAAAAACCTCCTCAAAGGAGAAACGCAACTCACTCTGAATTTATCAGAATTTTTCCATACTCAGATTTTAGAACGAGGACACAAACCACAACAAAGTATCTCATATTAGCTTTAGCTAAGACACACACATTTATTCTTTTTCTTTCAGCATATTAATATGCTGGGCACCTTCTGCCCAATCATCTCTACTTTCACTGTATACCATATTTGTACAATGAGACACTATCTTTAGAATGGTCACCACTGCAACAAAAGCTCAATCACCAAAGAAAGCTTTGACTCTGTTGACTCTCCTGACTAGGACCAGAAAGTACACCAATAATATTTTAGAGGGATTTTCAAAGAGAGTTAAAATGCAAAGAAATTTCTGATTAATGTGTGTGCCTGAAAACTCAATTAACCAGAGATAATAAGATTTTAGAGTTCATCTAAATCATGACTACCACCCAATCCTGTCTCATTTTACATACAGACCAGGATGATGTACCGAATGAAAAGAAATTGGAAGAAAAAAGTCCCAAGCTAGATCCTAAACTTCTCACCATACTGATGAATAGAGAAACAGCTTCCAATACCCTGGAGAAGTTATGACTAGCCAAAAATCAAACAAGATTTCAACCGAAGCTCTTTTGACACCAAATCCAGGGCTCATTACATTACAGCATACTTCATGAAGTTGGAAGGGACTGACTGCATGAGCCCCTCTGTCTCCCAACTTGGGCTAGGGGATCTGCTAAGTATTCTGGGAGAGACAACTGTCTATTCCCTAGAGACAGATGTACTTCGGTTTTTCTTTGTAGTCTGTTTCAGTATTTATCACCCAATGGGGTGGAGAGGGGCAGGACATAGGGTGTGTGTTGAAGATTTCTTTCCTAAGTCAGTCAAAACGTCTCTTGCATTTAATATATTAGCTTGGTACCACTGATGAGGATTCAGTGCTCAAAATGTTTTCCATAGCATCAGTGAGGAAATTCAAAAGTACTTTTGCCCTCTCCACTCTCCAGGTAACAAGACATTCTTATTAAAAACAGTGATTTCAGGGAAGCCCAGAAAAAGACATATTTCCTTTTAATTTTGCTCATGAAGCTATTCTCTATGTTTGTTTGTTCCTGATGTTCAGATATTCTCAACGTGTGAATGCAAAAGGTTTCTGGAGAAACATGTGCTAGAACCAGAAGCTGTTTTTTGTTTTAATTTTTTTTTTATTCTATTAGATAGCAAATAGTGTTTTGGGTTTCTTTCTTCCCTCTGACTGTCCCTTACCCCAGTGGAAATACTGAAAACTGAACCTCAGCCATGTGAGTAACTCCAAAAGGTTTTCCGGGCCACCTCATTAATCACCCCACTGTCAACTCTCTTACCTGCAGATGTAATTCGTCTTGCAGGAATCCTGCAAATTCAAACAGTTTGGCTTCTCCTTTTCCTCATAAGAACACAGAGGCACAATGGTCTGCCGTCTTCTCTCTGTGCAGGCTATGTCCTGGCAGGAGCAGAAGAGCATCCCATAGCTATGCTTGGGGGGAACCTTGTCAAAAAACTGCCGCAGGGCCTTGTGGCACTTCCTCCTGTTGCAGACTTCATTGGTCAGGCTGGTGGTGCAAGGGGTGATGTACGCTGATCGGTACTTCTTGCAGGTGTCATTGAGGTTGCAGGCTTTAGCAGCATCCAGGCAGTTGTTCCCCTTTGAAATAGTCTCCACTGGAAAAGGAAGAGAAGGAAGAAAGAAAAAAAACTTGCCATGATTGTACTTGAGGTTTTCTGTTTACTTCATTTTAATTGGGATCTTGCCCTTTCTTTGGAAATGCTCAAAACTCGGATCAACCTTTCTCTTTCCCAGGCTAATAACTTAACAACTTAATGACAAAGAGGAAGTGTTAGGAATATAAATACTGGTGACCGAGGGTGATTTAAAAAGATGGTCATACTACTGTATTTGGATAGATTGAAAGACTCTGCAATTGCAATGTACCAAATGGGCCAGACCCAACCCAGTCATGTTGGGTCAGTGCACCCCACCCTTCCTTACTCTGCTGCCCCCAAACAAAAGAGACTTAGAGCTCTATCACAGAACTAGAGTCAGAGTCTAACAACAAGGGGGCAAAGAGTAGAGGAAGTTGGTAACTCCTGGTTTGTAAACTGAAACTGTGATAAAATCAAAAGCAACAAATTACATACTTGTTCATTATACAGTATATAAAATGATAAGCAGAATGAGAGTATAATTGCCATGCAATCTTCCAGAAATGTAATTATGTAATAAATGCATATAGTACATGCTAATTACTATATGATTACAGAGTAATTACATGGTTATTTGAGCCCAGAAGACACAATATTATGCCAGGCTTTCTCTCTACACATGACAAAATGCCTCCTATAAAACTGTTGTATAGTTCTAAGTCACAGGACATTGGTACAGTACAGTAATAAGTTATGTGAAAGTTTACAAAGAACCATCATGGCTACAGGGGACACACACACACACACACACACACACACACACACACACACACACACACACACA